GATTGTAATGCAAAGTAAATTGCTTTAAAAAGTTATAAAAAAAGCTTGTAGTCCATTAAATAAAAAAACATAATACTTATCCAAGTAGAATACATCACTCTAGACTTTTAAAATCATGTCTTTGACTCCCCCATCTACTGGTTGCTTTGAAAGTCGTGAAGCTTTAATCCAACATGCCCAATTTCATGCTCTTAATCATGGATATGCTGTATGTATTAAAAGATCAGAACGAGATAAATTTGTTTATCTGCGCTGTGATAGAGGTGGTGTCTATAGAAATTCTCTAAATCTTACAGATGAGACTCGTCAAAGGGCCACGAGTTCACGCTTAATAGATTGCCCTTTTGAACTCTATGGAAAAAAGAAAAATGAACAATGGCATTTGACAATAAAGAATCCAATTCACAACCATGAGCCGTCAGAAGACATGTCGGGCCACCCATCACATCGCAGATTAAACCTGGAAGAACAGCAAAGAGTTCATCAAATGTCTGATGCGGGTATCCGTCCTAGAGAAATGCTTTCAACCTTTCGCCAAGACAACCCAAATCTTATGGCCATTTCAAAAACCATATATAACGCACGAGATAAGATTAGACGTGACAACCTTAAAGGTCGTACGCCAATCCAGGCTCTTCTTGATGAGCTCAAAGAAGAAAACTTTGAGTATGATTATCAATGTGATCAAGATGGTCATTTAACACACCTCTTTTTTGCCCATCCTACATCAATTATACTTACCAAAGCTTATAGTTCTGTTCTCTTAATGGATTGCACGTATAAAACCAATAAGTTTAGAATGCCACTTCTTCACGTCGTTGGAATGACAAGCTTTAATACAACATTCTCCTCCTGTTTCGTATTCTTAAAGTCAGAGCAGGAGGAAGATTATAAATGGGCTCTTGTTCGTATTGCCCGCATTTTTATAGATATTTCAAAACCTCAGGTCATTATGACCGACAGAGAGTTAGCTCTAATGCGTGCCATACGCACCGTCTTTCCTGAATCACAAAATTTCTTGTGCATATGGCACATTGAAAAAAATGTGCTGTCCAATTGCCGTCGCTACCTTCCTACAGAAGATGAATTAAGAGAATTTTTAAGAAGTTGGTCCATCCTCATAAATTCTAAATCAGAAGAAGAGTTTAATGAAAAATGGGAAGAACTGGTAAGGAAATATAATGAGAAACCATCAATTACTAAATACCTACAGGATGTATGGCTACCATTCAAGAAGCATTTTGTAAGTCTCTGGACAGACCGTTACTTGCATTTGGGCAATGTGACAACATCACGGGTAGAAGGATCTCATGCAATGTTGAAAAAGTATCTTCAAGTATCAACCGGAGACCTTCATGCAGTTCATGAAAGAATCGTCTTGGCGTTGGAGAATCAACACCAAGAAATCAAAACCCAAATTTCTCAAGAGTTGATTCGAACTCCTCACGCCCAAAACCAACCCTTTTATTCACAGGTTGTTACTAAAGTTTCTGTATTTTCACTAAAAAAAGTGCATGAACAGTTCTTGAAGGTAACCAGTGCGACATCAGAAAATTCACTGCAACCCTGTACCGGTACATTCACATCATCGATGGGTCTTCCTTGCTCACATATAATTCAAGAGCATCTCAACAATAATCAATACTTACAACTTAACGATTTTTACAAACATTGGTGGCTTCAAAGACACCAATTGTTTCTACCAATACCAACTGGAGTAGAAAATCCTATGCAACAAAGGTGGCAAGAATATAGTCAACAATTTAACTCTTGGCCAGCTCACCAACAAACAACAGCTTTGGACGAAATGTCAAGCTTGTTCCAAGAAACTGCTATTGCCGTGCAAGACCCACAGGAACAACACACAAGGGGACGCCCAGTTGGTGCAAGAAATGCACAATCATCTATCCGAAGAGACCCATCTGCTTTTGAGTTGACTGAACCGGGAAGAAGAAAATGCAGGTTATGTCATAGAACTGGGCACAATAGTAGAACGTGTCCTAATAACAATGAACAGAATTAGGTATAGATTTTATTTAGTAAAAATATAAAAATGCAAACACATATCTTAAGGCACTATAACCCCTCATATACTGATTCACTTCATATATCACGGCTGTTTCGATCTATGCGATATGGTTCTAAAAGACAAACTTTTAAAAAAAAATTTTAGTACACTTATTTATAGTAACAATATAAAGAAACACTGTAATACGCATTACATGTATTCGTATACGCTGCAAAATAAAATATCGCTAACTTTAGATTATAAGCATAAGCATTTAATGAAGGAAATATATGTGATTAAAGTTATACTTTCAAATGCGATCTAATATGTAAAGTTGGAACTTGAAATATTCCTTTTGACGAATTGTCGCGTTCAGAGAAAGATCAAAGCACATAAAATAAAAAACCTCTAAATAAATTCATTGTGAATAAAAAAAAAAAAACTCTAAGAAATAATTTTACTTAACTTATTTGTCACTTTAAATAACGATAAGATTCTATTTCAACGTGATAATAGCCTATTGGCTAACTACACTTGCACGGGACCGTAATTATGTGATATAATCGAAATGATCGACATAACGCATATTCATGGTGCGAATAGCAAAAACCCATGGTGCGAATAGCGGTTCCCTAAATTATATCTTTAATTTTTATCGATATCAAAGTTATATTGATTTAAAAAATGGATAAATTTGTTATACTACATACCAAAAGGGCTAGTTAAATATTAATAAATTAAATTGTATTGCATAAATAAATAAATAATGATCTATTTTAGCGTACGTTTAAAAAAAGCTTATGTGCGCTGTAGCGCACCAAGATAAATATGTAATGTGCGGCCCGCCCACAACCCGATGCTGAATTTTCAACACTGCTGGTGATAATGATCTACACTATCAACATGAATGGAATGAATGAGACATAAGTAATATTCGGAATCTTAAATGGCTTTTCGAATACTTCGTATACTGTAGAACCTCCCAAAATCGATCCTCTCAAAGCCGATAACCTGTCAAATCTGATAGAAAATTAGTCCACCAAGTCTGTTTCCGTTATATAAATCCAATAGTTTATAATGTTTTCAAATCTGATAACCTCTCAATACTGATATAAAATCTGTCCACCGTGCATATCGGTTTGGGGAGGTTCAACATAATCATATTTATTTTTTTAACCAATCAAAACAAAGGCTGCTCTCAAGCAATCCCTTGACATTGTTTGTCAGTGATCAATCATTTTTGATTAATCGAATAAATTCATTGTGGGAAATACGGATTTTAAATCACAACCAATCAGAGTAAAAAAAAAAAAAAAATAGGATTGATCGAGATGATTAAACTTTAGAAGGAGGCGATTGTGAACAAGATAAGATTGTTCTTCCTGTTCCAATTCTGTATGAATGTCGCACAGTTATTACCTCATTACTAAATTAATACATTAAGTTTAATAATTGACGATAGGAGATCGATTAAATTTTCTCAAGGACAATATAATGGGGCGTAAAAAATACGGAGACAAAATTCAGTACTTTTTATTCTTATGCATATACGTACGTTTGTACCTTACAATACTTGATACCAAAATTTTGTTTAATTTTACGAATTTAATTTTCAGTTTTACTTTAACTAATTATAACTTTAATTTCTTATAATTGTCTATATTTGGTACATTTTGTGAAAATAATTTTGTGCATATCTCAATAAAATTCCTATAATAAGCTGAAGTTGTAGGACAACCAACCCCTTATATTATGCGGCTGTACTCGTTATTAAAATAGATCATTCTGGTAATTTACTTAGCGTTAGGGGCTGTAGCAAATTAATTTGCATACTCACCATGTCATATATCATGGAAATTCACTATATCTCCAGATTTCTGGGGCTTCAAGACTCGCTCTAATCGATATTTTAATTTTTCTATATTTCTATATTTTTTCGATTTCTCACATGTATGTTTACACATTTTGAATACACTGTAATGTTTTGCATCAGTGCAGGAAATCTAAAGTCTTTACAGAATAAATGTGCATAAACTAGTAACACGATTAACCTCATTAATCTGGATATAACTAGTAAAAACCACTATTATAATGACAAATTTAGCTTATCTCCTACATCTTATTGTAGCACTGTACGACGCAACGATGCAAGAAATCTAAAATCAATTCGATTATCTAATTGGCCAATTTGATCAAACAGACCATTTAGGAAGGTGCTTCCTAAAGGCGTATATTCATGAAATAAAACCCCATAAGCGGTACATGTTTGTATATTATTTTCAGGGATACTGTATCTATAAAGAGTACCTACGCACGTACCTACGGCGCAAGAAAACTAAAAACCACAATTACACCGTATAGAAACAGCGAATTATTAAAAACTTAAATTTGAAGTAATTATTATGTGTAACTTGATTGTAGGTTACAGATTACGCCAAGTAGACAATCAAGTAATACATTAAAATTCATATTTCTTAAATTATCGACTTCAATAAAAGTATTCACATACGCACTTTTTTGTTGTAAATGATTTAGGATTTCAATGTTTGTATTTTGTTTTTATAAGATATAATTGTGGTTTTTGTATTCTTACAACGTACACATATTGTATTAAGTTGACTATTTTTAATATGATGTATACTTTGTCATAATTTTGTCATAATATTGTTATAATTGTGGTTCCTAGATTCTTGCATCGTACGTACGTACTATAATTTCCTTTTTCTTGGCTGATTCTTTATGTTGATAATCACAAATTGCCAAAATTGTCACAACTAGAAATAGTTCCCAATTACAAATATTTATATTTAAGTTTAATCAAATTTCAGGCTAATTATTTCTACAAAATAAACTGTTCTATTACACAACATAAACATGTATTCAATGACATTTATAAAAGATTCGAAAAGAACATTATTTTAACAAGATCGATTCATCTGAACAGAGAGAAGATATTGTTAAGGCTCCTCAAGAAGTTAAATATTTTAACAAGATGGCTTCATCTGAACAAAGCGAAGTTATTATTGAGGCTCCTCAAGAAATTAAATATTTTATTTTAGAATCAAGTGAAAAATATAATTTATTAACTAAAAAAAAAAAGGCTAGTGAAGAAGAAAACCTTGTATATCAAGCAATTAGATTCTTTATTGTGAAATTAAACGAAGAATATAAATCATATCAAAAAAATATGAGATATCGTCAAAATGTATACACTGCAGAGATTTTTATATCATTAATTTCTATTTTTCTTGGTCAATTATTCGGATTTGCTCAAAATTCCGATATAATGGCGAAAGTTGGAACTCAATTAACTTCATTATTTGGTGGAATTGGTTTACTAGTAACTATTGTTACTGCATATCTTAACAATACTACGCAGAAATATCTTGAATCAAGTAGTTCAACTGAACTCGATGAGAATACGTTCAAACTCATGTATTTACATATTGATGATAAAGTTATTAAGGCGTTTATTAATGATTTGAAAAAACCGAAAGTTAATGTTTCAAATGCTAATGGAACGGAAGATAATGGAATGAAGGATAATGGAACGAAGGATAATGGAACGAAAGATAATGGATCGAAGGGTAATGGATCGAAGGATAATGGATCGAAGGATAATGGATCGAAGGATAATGGATCGAAGGATAATGGATCGAATGCTAATGGAACGAAAGGTGATGACTTGATAGCTAAAATAGAATCAAATCTTTATTCAAAATCAAACGATATAGATAGCGAATTTACTATGTTTACAGCACTTGATTTTTATATAATTCAATTGAAACGAAGAAACGATATTTTGACTAGAGAAAGAATTTTCGATACGTCAGTTTCTGCTTTGTTCTTTTTCTTCATTCTCGCAATATCTATTTTTTTGTCGTTGGTTGTTCAAGATTCCACTCAAACCTTTCTATCTAAGGATACAGAACAAACGTTAAGTCTTTCTTTGATGTATTTAGGAGGAATCTGGTTTGGCTTAATTTTTCTTTCAAAATCATATGATTTTCTTGAAAGTTTGGAAAATAGACTTTATGCTAAAGTGTTTGATAATGATGATGATGATTATTCAAAGCTTAATGATGATCAATGTAAACTTAAAATGAAAGAACTTAAAGACAACGAATTTAAAAACGATGCTTTTTCCTATTGGTTAAAGGAATTGTATATACCAGTTCGATATATTGTTATATTTTTAAATTCATTTTTAATTATTTATTATATGATTATAGGCAGGGTTAGATACGAAAAAAAAAATACTTTGGCTGAAAAAACAAATTCCAAAAGGAATTTACGTATAATTCACTTACAATTATATCCATTTTGGGTCACAAATATTGAATTAATTCTAAACGGAATCAAACCTATGATTTTAAAGGATAGAAAAAAATATAGACTTCAAAAGAAAAAATTTGATAACAGAATTTCTTTCAAAGATATTTATTCTTCAAATAGGAGTGACAAAGATGAATAATCGTTATTGATTTTATTTTTTAAATATCGATATATAATTTTATTATAGTATATAGATGTTTAGCTCTAACTTACTGTAGTTCATGTAATATTTTGTATAAACAAATATTAAGTCTCTATGAGAATTGTTACAGACTATTTTTTATTATTTAATAAAAAACTTACAGTTTAAATTTTAATACTGAAAACTGAAATAACAAATATTTTATCATCTTATATAAAAAATATATATATATATATTTGTAATCGTAAAAACGATTAGTTTAGAAATTTTAAAGAAAACAAAATTAGATCTCCATTTCAAAAATGAATTTACCAAGAACGTAGTGCTTAGTTTGCAAGCCGTGTACAAAACCTTGCATATTTGGATGATATGTTCACATGTCCAAATTGATCGTTGCAATACTACCGTTTATACTTTCCCAAGTAACTTTTTAGTCATTTGGCAGATACGTTATTGGATTTTGCTCACAAAAATCCTCGGTCTGAATTGGAAACTTCCCAAACTGCCTACAATCATTTCACCTACGTACGTACAGTATAGTGCTCGGCACAATCAAACAAAAATTTGACAAGTCAAATACTTGTGGTTAAATCGGATGTCAAATGATCGCAGTTCAACCAATACTATATATTTAGCTTTGTTTGATCAGCGATCCGACTAATCACAAGTATTTGATTATCAAATTTTTGTTTGATTGTGCCGAGCACTAGTACAGTACGTACAATTGCCTCCAAAATTTAGGACAGTTACACAATAAAATAAAAAAAAGCATAATAAAAATATAAATAATGCCATTAATACGTATATTACAGAATATAATGATTTTATATCGATACTTAGTCCTGCTATCTAGAATGATTTGTAGTGTAACTTATTGTTGCTGTGTATTTGTGTTACAGTACTCTGAGATACGTAGATGTAATACAGAATATGTTAATCAAATTAGTATAAATCTCAATCAAATTCGTAATATTTGATTTTGATCTATTATCGATATCTCATAATCTAGTAATTAAATTTTGATAATTTTAATTTCATTTGAATTGTCTCATCAAGACAATTTAAATTGTACTAAAATTAATTACTAGATTATGAGATATCGATGATAGATCAAAATTAAATATTACGAATTTGATTGAGATTTATACTAATTTAATTGACATATCCTGTATCATACGTATTATGGAGCGAAATCAAGTGAGAATACATAAATTATTCTTTATTGCTATACGATTTATTTAGATACATGAATTCGATTACTGGATTAATGCTTGTAGTCGATTTCGCATTAGTCGATTTTATCGACTTAGTTGGCTTAGTTAGTCGAATTTCCAAAAAAATTGACTTAGTCGATTTTAAATATCGACTTAGTCAAGTTGATAAATATGGGTTCATCATGGCGAATTTATGAAATAATTTGGTCACCAAATCCGAGTATTTTGTCCCCAAAGTAAATCTTAGTTACCAATTTACATATTAATAAATCGATACCAAACCCGAAATTTTTTTTTTAGGCCTCTTATCTAGACTGATAACACGTCTAACCCATCTTCCCCACCTTTTTAGACATAGATTTATTACAACGACGCACCTTAGGCCGGGAAAATTTCTTATCTCAGCCAAAATCTATATTTATATCTTAGTGGTCAAATTTTTCAAATTTTGGGGTATTTCATAAATTCGCCGCTATGATGGGTTGACTACAAACGTTAAAATCGATTCTATTATTAGTTAGAATAAAAAATAAAGAAATCGACATTTTTTATCGGCATAAATAGGCACGCTGGTGACGATTTTTTGACGAGCAATTTTCAATATCAATTATATATTTACTCTATCCTTAGCCTTTTACATGCACATTTTATATCTAAATCATTTAACAGTTTCTGAATTTTGCATAACTCCTAATTTCATGTATAGGAGCTTTTACTTACCGTGAGAACACCATAGTTGAATCTGACAAAACTATTCACAAAAATCATGGCCGAACAGACGTTTATCTATCAAAATAACTTCTACCTAATTTAATTCTGTGTGCGTGTTTGATTGGTCGTATTCAAAAAAATGCGATCCATAACAAATCGTTTTTATATCTACATTATTTTCAAACCCCAAAAAACGTGTCCTAAGTATATGAAAAAAAAACTATAATGATCAGGTCGTATAATATCTGATATACCATAATCTTAAAAATCTTAATTCAAATAAAATATTACACATTATGAGTCTGTAAAGATTTGTAATTATTAAAAGCCAATAGATCATGCATTTTTAAAGTTTATTAATAATTGTTTAAATCTAATTCATCATTTTGAGTGCCTCAAAACGAAAACTGAATTTTTGGGGTTTCTGAGAATTCATTTTTTGAAAACGAGCTTATGAGAAATTAATAAATTTACTTCTGAAGGTGAAATTTCCGAAAATCAAATTTTCGGAATTTTGCTTTACAGCAATTATTTACTGATGTATCTAATATCTGATTAGATAAAAAATATCTGATATAATTTTATGTATTGTATAGAGTTTTTTATTTTTTTTTATTAATTACCGTAAATCGCCGGATACAAGATCCCCCATGATAGTAGACCCATCATGTAGTATACCCGGATGCGTATCATGAGATCTATATTAATCAAACATGGTTTTTTTCAAATATCTGGATTGTCTATTATAAATGTGAAACATGCATACTCTTCAAAGTTTTCCTCTTAGTGACATGAACTCTCGGCTGCATACTAGACCCGGGTCTATTATAGGATTTAAAATT